GCCAGTGCTGCCCATCGCCTTTAATTTACGCTGGCCTGACAACACCTATGTTTATTTGCAAAGTGCAAAACGTTTTCTCGCCAATTGATCGCAATTTTAGCCACTCTTAGAGCTTTGAGCGAACAATGATGATGGGGTCTGCGCCAGTGCTGTTGCAGTTGCCGCTGCTGCTACTGCAAAATATCTATAAGTATTAGCCCGCCCCCTGTCGCCCACTGCATCGCAGATCCGTTTTATGATCGGGGCTGGAGTTAAGGGATGAGGGGCTGGGGTGGAAGGGAGGGGAGTGCAAGCTGGTGCTGGCAACTGGAACTGTAATCTTATATAGCATTTTTAATTTTTGTTGCATGTGCTCAAACGAAGATATTGGTCTAGAAAAAAAATATATCAAATGGAAAATGATTATGTAACTGTAACTTAACACGGATATAGTATATGCATATACATACAAACACACAATATAGAAAGAAAAACCAAGTAAATATGAAAACACTCCAATTTTTAATGAGAAATCCCAACACCCAGACACACACACACACAACTAATATTGATTACACACATATTATGCGATAAAAAGTAGTAGAACAAATATTGAAAGGACAAAACCGATAGATAACAAGCAATTAAAACATACCTTAAATACCTATGCATGTATACATATATATATGTATGTACATAAATATGTACATACATGTATGCATAGGAGTACATTTGTATGTATTTTCGCACTTCGCTCGGCTGCTGCTGCTAAAATTCAAATAAAGTTTTAACGCATACACATACGAAATATGTTAATGTTTTGCCAGGGCAAACGGTTTAGTTATTAACAAAAGTAAACAAAAACAAAAAAGAAATGAAATCCAAAAGCAGATGCTGATGCTGAAGCAAAATGGCCAGCGCTTGCTATTACACAATACATGTAAAAGATATATTTTATAGCTATAGCATAAACATAGAAATGATAAAATTATTAATTTATATATACGTATATATATACATATATATACATATATATTTTAATTGCATATATGGTTTTTCGTCTCAATCTCTACCAAGCAACAAGTCAAGTACATGGGCATATAATACATACATACACGTACATATATGTAAACCATTTTTACATTCGATTCATTCAAATTAATTTTTAGACATACTGAAATTTCGAAAAACTGAGCTAAAAAAATTAAAAAAAAAAAACAAAAACCAAAAACAACAAACCTTAAAAGATAAAAAAAAAAAAAACAAACAAACCCAAAATGGAACATTTAAAGCAAGTTCGATTAAATGAAATAAAAACTTTAAATAAATAAAATATTTAAAACCAAATAATACCAAAACCGTATTTGCAAATTTGCGATTATTCAACTTCATCGTGTGATGAGAAGCTTTACCATGATCTGGCAACCATTTAGAGCGAGAAGTTTGCTAAACTGCAAACACGAGCAAGATAGCCTGCTTGCTGTTGCGAAGGACAGAAGAAAACAAGTAACACATTAACAGAGCGCCAGACAGGCCTGTTAAAATATTTTGCTCCTTACGTTGCAAGGACTGCTATTGCATATACATACATACATACATATGTATGTATCTTGCCCTAGTCTGTCCATAGACTGCATGCCCTGATGACCGCTGTTGATGCCAAAGTAGAAATATTTGTGCATATGGAGAGCATGCCGGCGTCGTTATTGCATATGCATAGGTCCCCGTCAGGTGCAATGCTTGCCGCCTGTAGGTGAATGAAGGCCATGTAAAGTGCGTAATGCAAATGTTCTGCAACACGCCTGTTAACATTACATAATGAAATGCAGTGAGCTTTCCGTGTACTAGATTTTTAAATTGTTTATTCCTTTAAGATGTTGCACTACACATATGTAAAATATACATGGCTCCTGCACCTGCTGCCAGTTACTGGAAGCCAGGAGCCCGAGTACGTCTAATAGGCTGCACAAATTAGAGTACGTCATCTACTTCTTCTTTGGCTTCAGGATCTGGTAAGCGATGAGCAGGCCCATGACTGCGTAAGTAGCCTTGGCCACCTGCAACATGTTACGAGAAGCGTATTAGTAGTCAATACCTGAAAGTAGTTGATAGATATTGGATGTTGGATGGACTCCACTTACATTGGCACGGCCGGACATAGTATTGCCATTGAAGATTTTGGACAGGCCGGTCAGTTTCTCTTGTTCACCAGCCATTGCTATAATCGTTATGCAAATATTGAATTTGAATTTGAAGTAATTTAGTAGGAGTTGTTGCTGCGTTAACTCACTTTCAGTTTGTTTTGTGACGAGTTGAAACTACTTCAATTGCCAATAAAAAAGACGAATAGGTTATACAACTGTGCCTGAGCTGCCACTACGTGCGAATGGCTTACTGCGTTGCCACCTAGCGCAACAAATTTATCGTGATGGATGCATCATTGCATGAACTATCGATAAGTGCTATCGCAGGCGCCAAATTTAATACGTGTAAATACAAACAGAAAATAAAAAGGAAAATGAAAACATGTTCACCGCATATACATATTAAAGGCTAATAGCAGTTGCACTAATTGCATAGCTTTGCAAACAGCACACAAGTCAAATGTCAATGGCAGCTTTCGCAAATCTCACCTAATTGCAAGGATTAAGTGCTTATAATACACTCATTAAAATTATATAGGGCAGCCTGAGAACCGGCACAAGTGAAAAGAAATGCTGGGCGTAAATTACAAAGCGCAGCCATCAAGCGTTGTCATTAAAGCTGCCCTGTTGAATAGCTCGGATAGCTCTTTCGCTCGAAAATGGCATAGACTGCAAGCATATTAAATTAAAAGCCCGCCCGCACCTCCAAGGTGCTAGACAATGAATTCCATGGTTTCGACGGCCGGCTACAGCGTCCACAATTAAGGTCGCACTGTCAACTGGTTGCCCCGCCCACATCCAAGTGGTGTTGTGCCGACTATAAAAGTCCTTAACTTGCAGCCAGCTGCACGAATCAACTGCAGCAATGGATGCGGCCTACTTTCTACGCGTGCAGGTCCTGACATTTCGGATGATGGGCTTCGACTTGTGGGAGAGCGGCAGCAAAAACGATCGTTCGCAGATAACGTTAGTGGTAATGATCCTGTCGATCGCGTTTCTGGTGCCGCTGCTCTTCTCCGCAGTGCTAAACGTGTCCACCGTGAGCATCATGAGCGACGCCTTGGGCTCGGTGCTGGCCATCATTGTGTGCGTTGTCAAGTACTTGGTATTTGTCTACTATCGCAAGAGCTTTGTGCGTCTGATCTATCGCATTCGCGACATACTAGAGAGGGGTAAGTGATGCTGCCAAATGGGTTTTTGTTTTTATACCCTGTTTTTTATTGATATCCCTCTAATTCGTTGTGCTGCAGAGATGCGAGCATTGCCGGAAATAATTCCTATTGTGGAGAGGGAGAATCGCAACGATCAATCGCTGAGCCTGGCATACATGCGCTGCTTCTTTGTCGCATGCGTCTTCGCTGCGGTCAAGCCGGTCATAGTCATGCTAACGCTGCGGCTGCGAACGGGTCGCACCCACCTGGAGCTGCCGCACGCGGGCGTCTATCCGTGGAGTGACCAGGCGTTGCTGCCCTATGTGCCCACTTACCTGTGGAACCTAATGGCCAGCTATGGCGCCGTAACCATGTCCCTGGCCATGGACACACTGCTCTTTGCCTTCACATACAATGTGTGCGCCCTGTTCAAGATTGCCCAATATCGCGTTCGGCATTTGCAGCCCATCAGCGATGCGCCGCGCCGCGAGCTGGACGAACTGGTGCAGGTGCTGCAGCTGCATCAGACCGGCCTGGATATTGGCACCCAGCTGAGCCACAGCCTGCGACCACTGGTGTTCATACAGTTCTTTGTGTCGGCTGTGCAGCTCTGCTTTGTTGGCTTCCAGCTGGCCGACCTGTTCCCCACCCTGGAGTGCATATACTTTATCTTCTTTGTCGGCTCGATTGTTATAGCCCTGTTCATATATTCGCATTGCGGCGAGAACATGAAGCAGGCCAGCGTCGACTTCAGCGCGGCCCTCTACGACAGCAGCTGGGTGGACTTTGCGCCGGCGACCAGGCAGGCGCTCATCGTGGCCATAATGCGCGCCCAGTTCCCTTGCCAGCTGAACGGCTACTTCTTCGAGCCCAACATGGCCAACTTTTCAGCGGTGCGTAGCCCCAATATCTGGAGTCCAGCAATATCTGCAAAGTCTATTTTTCAGGTGGTTCGCTCGGCCATATCGTACGTCATGATGCTGCGCTCCTTCAATGGCTAGCCAGGAGCCACGAGCTTCTCCTGCTTTTGGTTATTAATTGTGGCAAATAAATTTATAGTTTCTGCTCTTTAAAATGGGTAATTGAAATATTATCGAGCACAGGGATTATTAATAGACACTTGCGGCTTCTCGTGCGCCCTGCCGCTTGCATGGCATGTGCCGAGGACGAGATTGCAGCAAGTAATTTGCAAAGTACAACAGGACTCAAATTTCACAGATTCCATACAGCTGCAACAGACTAATGCCAGCAGGCGGCTGCCATAATGCGGCCAAGGTGCGCTAACCATTTTCATTAGCAGCGGGTTATCATTGTTGAGCAGATGCAGCAGGTGCAGCAGTTGCTTTCAAATATCAAGTATACGCCCTGGCTTGGCCAGTGCTAATTGAAAAGCAAGTCGCATTATTTGAGAGCTTTATTAAATATTCAACTTTGATGCCAAACGAACTGTAAAATTCAATAGGCAATAGGCAATAGGCTTATAATTCGATTTTCTATGCCAGATAGATGCCCTACCGCGTCCGCCTCCTCGAACGTGACATCTGCGCTCTCGCCAGACTTGGCCACAATTTCTGCTGTGCTGGCCATAGTCGGCTATGCCCGTGCCATGCATTTAATTATGCTCTTTTGTGCCCAGCTGTGCATTGCCATTGCTGGCTCTTTCAATTGTCACCGGCCAACAGCAGCAGCCAGGAAGGAGCAGGGGCCGGGCTTTGTGTTACCTGTTGAAGGCATTGTCGGCACGCACTAAGTAAGCCACTCTCGAAAACTTTGTTCACTGCCAACTCAATTAGTGCTCCATAAATAACCGAAATAAACCCAACGGTTGCCCCCGCCCCCGGCCCCTGCTATTGCTCCTGCTTCCTGCTGCTCCCATTGCTGTCTAGCCAAGTAGTACATGAAATAAGAGCTATTGTTTTGGCAACGTCATTGTAATTGCGGCTGTTGCTGTTGCTGCTGTTGTAGTTGTTGTTGATCCTGCTGCTGCTGCTAGTTGTTTGTGTTGTTGTTGCTATGCTATTGCTGCGGCTGTTACTGATGCTACTGTTGTGTTGCTGCTAATGCTGTTGCTGCTGTTGTTGTTGCTGTTGTTGTTGCTGTTGCTGTTGGTGCTGCCGCTGTTGGTGCTGCTCCTTCTCCTGCTGCTGCTAATTGTTGCTGTTGCTGCTGCTGCTGTTAGTTGCTGCTCCTCCTGCTGCAGTTAGTTGCTGCTGCTGTTGTTGCTGCTGTTAGTTGCTGCTGTTATTGTTGCTGCTGCTGTTGCTACTGCTGCTGTTAGTTGCTGCTCCTGCTGTTGCTATTGTTAATTGTTGTTGTTGTTGTTGCTGCTCCTGCTGCTGCTGCTGCTAATTCTTGTTGGTGCTGTTGCTGCTGTTAGTTACTGCTCCTCCTGCTGTTGTTGTTGCTGCTGCCGCAGTTGATTGCTGCTGTTAGTTGCTACTGTTGTTGTTGCTCCTCCTGCTGTGCTGGTTCTAGTTGTGGCTGCTGTTTTTGTTGTTGCTCCTCTTGCTGCTGCTGCTCAGTTGTTTTTGGACGAAAGCGTGTAAGCTTCAAAGTGACTGACAAACATTAAAAAGCCATGCAATCAGAGTATTAAAATGCATGTCAGCTTTTGCGCCTTGATGCTGTTGCAGTTGCAGTTGCAGTTGCTGCTGCAACGCCTCTTGCATATGCAATGCAGCCACATGCGGGCGACATATAGATGCAAATTGGCCAAAACTGAAATGTCCTGCTTTTCTAAAATATGCCTTGATTCCCTGTAAAATTGGCAGTGTCTAAAATGCACTTATTCTACCTCTTTCTCTCTCTCTCTCTCTCTCTCTCTCTCTCCATCTGTCTCCCACTTCCATTCTGTAAAAATAAATTCAAAGTTGGCAAAGTTTGCATTAATTAAAAAGACACGCAAGTATCGCTCGGATTTACTCAAGCCATTGCAATGCCTTGTTGCCATAGTGAATATTTGACCTTTTTCTTTGCTCACACACGCACATACAACATGAGCAACAACAATAACAACAACGGCAGCCCTCTTCAATGCATGTTGCACTGCGCGTACCAGGGCTGCCAGATTTAGCCTATTTCACGCTAGATCCAGCATCTATAATATTATTATTAAATAGCTTATGAATCTAGGATTGAATCTACGTAGCATATTCTCAGCTTCATAAGCCACGAAGAAACAAATACGAAAAATAATTTAATTTCACTTTATATTTATTTTAATCGGCCTCAAACTGTAACTAAAGTTGTCTCAGACTGTGTTTATGGTATAAGGAACTTATAACCATGTAGAACTGAACTTAAGGCGTAACTACTCTCACTACTACATACTCTTCCCTTGCGAAGTCATCACACTCATCCATAGTCTTATTTCATATCAATTTTCATCAAATATTACATCTTCTATTTTATCGTTCATTGTAAATTGTTAGTCTTTCAGAGCTTTTACAAATTTCTTCTTGAAATGAAGACCAAAATTATACTGTAATAAAAAGACTCAAATAAAAATCAACTTATATTTCGATTCAATTTTAAGCTACATATGTACTTAATGGTATATTTTTATACCCTGTGAAAGAGTATGTAACGGGCAGAAGGAGTCATCGCAGACCCCATAAAGTATATATACTCTTGATCAGGACGACAAACTGAGTCGATATAGCCCTGTCCGTCTGATTTTTGGCATGCATACTCGTGTGTACCATACGCAGTACAAGTTTATCTTATTTTTTCGATAACGCATCCGATAACTTTCTTTATCGAGAATAGTCGAAAAATCGACTTTGTTTTTTCAAATTGGCGTTGCATATAAAGTTAATAAATACAAAGATTTTGTAATTTACAGATTTTGGATACCACGCCCCCTTCGCCACTAATTTGTAAAAAACGTATTTTAAGTACTCGAGACTTGTGCTTTGGAATGTACACACATTTTTACCATATGATCACGCTCTGTACGATAGTCTTACTACAAGAGAAATTATTCAACTAATAAATTCTCACAATATTGCCCACACTGCATGTATGCATGTGTGCATAAAATAGATGCAGAATGAGTATCAGCTTAGAGGGTTCAGGGTATTTCCAGTAGAGAATAAGATGAAGAGCCTAACTTTCTGATCGTAGATATATGACTATATCTATGTATATATTATAAAACCGCATATCACTGAAAGCAATATAAGATTTGACAAGTTTGCAATTATTTGCGGCATACAAATAAATCTATTTTTAATAATGTCATAAATTTATTCATACATTTGCTGAGTTATTATTGCTATTTTTTCTGATTTTGCAATTTCTGTTTTTTACTGCAGTAGCTGTAATTGGTAATTTGTAAATGTATTACCAAATAGAAATGCAAAATGAAATGAAATGGGAAACACTGTCAGCCAATATATGAATACATTATTATGTATGCATATTGGGCTCAAATTACTATTATTATCAATCAATTCAAGCAAAAAAGGTAATTTGAAATCGTATTATTTTTGTTTTTTGTTTTTTTTTTTTTTTTCTGTAACTTTTCTTTGCTTTTAATAAAGCTTGCTGTCCAGCATTTGGTTTTAGATTTAAGCGTATTTTAGCTCAACAACTGGTAGCAGTGATGCGGACTTGATTCACTTGGATTTTCGAAATCGTAATGAGATCGACTAAAAACAATATACTAATTCACTTTCGTGAATGAGTATAAAAACATATAAGAAGGCTCCAGTCGAGACTGCTCGACTGGGAGATACCCTGAACCCTCCAAGCTGATATTCTAATCATTCTGGACTTCTTTTATGCACACATACATACACATGCACTTATAATCACAAG